TGAGAACAAGATTTGGTATCATATCTCTTGGTTGCAAGGTGTGATACATTTCTTGACGGGCTCGTGATATTTCGGAGATTGCTCCCAAAATATGAGAACAAGATTTGGTATCATATCTCTTGGTTGCAAGGAATCACGTATGGGCTCGAGGAATCGCCCCGGTCTTAACATACGATGCTACAGTGCTACGGCCAGGAGACCGGCGACTCAGCTGATATAATAATGCAGACCTTTAGGGGGTTAAGGGTTTCGGGTTTAGTAGGGGTTGTCGAGTTCAGAGCTCTTCCATGTGCACGGATGTGTGTAGTCAGAGCCCATGCTCGAAGGGTTCGAGTTTAGTTTTTAGCATAGGACATTTGACGGAATCTGAAAGCACCGACAAACGCGAGGTCGCGAACATAACACTTACAGAAATTTGTATTCTCCGCTTACATACAATGCCCTTCTAAAAAAGATGAAGTCAGTTCCAGTGTTGTACGGGTCTATAGAGGTGTAGTAGGGAGTTAGATGCAGTACAATTATCAGGGATTGTGTGCAATGGCATTGCCGTGTGCCTGGCTTCTCTGCGGAAAGCCCCGAAAGACTTTGCCGTCAGGGGCCTGAATATTTGCCTAAGATCCATTACTGCAAATATTGCATCATATCACCGGAAACCTCTTTCTCATGATAAAGGAGCCTATAACAGTGTTTGGTGATGCGGACTTGCTGGATTTTGCTTCGGGTCCTGAAATGTAGTTCGGTTTCTGGATCGCTTAAACTTATGTCCTCAAACTCGGCGATCCCAAAACGAAAACGAACGTAATCTCATAGGCACAGTATAGTACAGCATCTCCCTAGAGCGACCCATATAGAAGCTTGTAGCTGGCACCTGAAGCTGGTCCACCCCTAGTGGCACTGTGCACATGCATATTGCGTGCCAATACCGCGATGCGGCCATGTGCAGCCGCCTTCGAACGAGAGGAGTGGGCGGAGCACTTCCGTGACCAGGACATCTATCACTTCCAGCTCCATGGGACAACTGCATCAAATGGTTGATGTAGCCTTCCTGATCCACACCAGGCAGCCAATCCACGAAAAAACTGCCGCAGCAAGGTTGATATCCCGCAAAACTCTGCTCCGGTTAACTGCACGAGCTTCATACATAAAGACTCCAGCAACCTCATAGAAACTCGATATAAAGCCTGTATAAACCCTTGGGTATAGTAACAGGGAGACCCCTTAAAGGGCACCCTTTTCAGCCCTTCTTGTGGCTCTCTTAAAAGGGACCTTATTGAGAGGGTCTATATCCCCAAGGGTCCCCGAATCCTAACTCCTAAGCCCGAAGCCAGCTTCAAGCCTACGCCCTTCGCCTATAGTTCCTTAACCCCCAAACCATCCTAAACCTAAACCCTCAAGCCCAAGCACCAAACCCTACAGTTCCACGGTTTAGGGTTTAGGGTTTAAGGTTTAGGGTTTAGGGTTCAGGGTTTAGGGACCGCCAACCCCTGAACCCCAATGCTCCTAAACCATAATATGGGTAGTTCGCTAAACTAAGGGTTTCTTTTACGGTCCAGTTTATGAAGGTGCTGTATTGTACTAGGAGCCCAAAAATGGACGCGGTTGTCAGGAGAATTGCCCCGATGCCACCCAAAAGCCTTAAACCCTGAACCCTAGACCCCCAAAAGCCCTAAATCCCAAAAACCCTAATACCACCCAAAAAGCCCTAAATCCCGAAAACCCTACTGCCCCCCAAAAGCTCCCGGCAGATTTATTTTTTCGGAGCTTCGAGGTGTCTGCTGGGCGCAGTCTCGAGAAGAGCCCGGGATCCCTAGCAGTGTTTTGTGTTTGTTTTGTTAGAAGGGGTTTAGGGTTTAGGGTTNNTTGAGGTTGAGGGTTTAGGGCTTAGGATCAGTGAACTGAGTGTTCACATGGTTGAGCGTTTGGGGCTTACTGTTCACTGTATTACACATGGGCCGTGTTTATATGGTTGCCGGGTTTTGGCTTTTCGGTTGAAAGTTTACGGCTTATTGTTTCGGGTGTATCTTCTTTTGGGTTTTGGGAGTGTGGCATTACGAGGTTCCCCAGTAGTACCCTGTTGCCCTTTTTCTTTTTGGGTTCAGGGGCTAGGGAACCTTAAACTGGGTGTTGATATGGTATGATTTAGGGTTCCCTATTTGGTGCATATCTTCTGTCACTTAGTATAGCAGCCTGAATCGAACGATTACTACTACTCTTCCTATTCCTTGGGGTTCCTGTTGGAACCCAAGTGTGCAATTCTTAGAGGTGAAGATTTTATTTGGCTTGTCGAGGTTGCGTTTGGGTGAGTCTTGCTTGGCTTCGTGCTATGGATCGAGTTATGGGTTTTCCTAAACATAAAACCTAAACTAAACCCCAAACCTTAAAACCAAATAATGAAGTTTTAGGGTTTGGGGCTTATATTCCAGAGTGTTTCCCTTGCCTTCATAACCTAAGCGCGATTATCAGGATGAAACCTAAGCCTCAATCCTAAACCCTAGCCAAAGCCTAGAGCCATCAGTGCAGTAATGGCCGGCACCTCGGATTCCGAATTTCAGGCGCCTACCACCCTGCCGTTGTTCATAAACGCAGGCTTCTATGGGGGTTCCGCGGGGGGTCTAGTGGTGGTGGTAGTAGTAGTAGTAGTAGTAGTAGTAGTAGATACACCTTCTATGTACTTGCCGCGCTGCCCGAACTCAGCCACCAAGACTGTAGAGCCATGCAACGACGAGATGCTACGCTCAGCTCTCTCCTTCATCACTACAACCCTAAACCCCAACAGCCCCACCACCCCCGTCGAGAACGCTCTAGCACCTACCCACATTTACCATCCCGCAGCCTGGAACCCTCAACCAAAAACTGTTCTGGAGTGCCGTACTTGAAGGCTTTTTTTGGACCTGTTCCTTAAATGACCAACGCATCATGATACTGATTCATGACTTCGAAACGCATGTTTACTCCTCTATCATATCATTTACACGCTGTAGTCGTTTTGAACCTTCCCCTCGGAAACATACAGAACAGCATACTTCCTGCAAGTCCTCATATGACTTATATTAACCCTAAACCCTAAACCCTGAGCTCTAAACCCTAAATCCTAAACCCCTGAATGGCTCCATGGAAGCGCATTGCATCACTCGGAGCTCCCTTGCTGCGCGGCGCCGGAGCGGATCTGGCCCAGGCCGCTGCAACGACTGGAGCCATATGGCATTGTATTAAGCATTACGTTTATACTATGGCATGGTTTCTATACCATACTATGCTATACTCGCACTGTGCTGTACTAGACTATTCTTATTACTACTATTATTAGTGTTACTACAACTAGTACTATTACTAGTACGAGTACGATTACCATTACTAGTGTTTGTTGCTATTACTATTACTATTACTAGTGCTATTACTACTACTAATACTGTCACTATTAATAGCTAGTACTAATACTATTGGTATTACTTTTACTATTACTATAGCTATGCTGTAATATGCTACACTACACTACACTACACTTCATTACACTAGACTGTACTATACCATACGACACTACCACTACACTGTTACAGTGTAGTTTTAGACTGCTTTACTGTCTTGTACTTCATGCCATCGACTGTGTGTAGACTGTAGACTATATGATCCTTAAGGGAGGGTGGCTCAAGGGGGAGGGTCCTAGGGAGCTTTAGGGAACCTAAGGGAGTACTAGGGAGAATTGGGGATTACTGGGTTACATACCCCCTTAGAACCCCCTCCCTTAAGGGTTCCATAAGTAGACTATAGACTACATGCTATATACCAGATGTACAAGCTAACGACCATAACCTACAAACGATGTACTATATACGGTGTCTGTGTACTGTAGTTTATGGATACGATATACTATCTATATGCGATGTAGCATCGTAACATTCGCATAGTATAGACTACATGCACTTTATTCTAAAACATTGTACAGACGATTTACGCACCATATTTATACGTACTATAAATGCGATATATATATATATATATATGTATATATATATATATGTATATGTATATATATATATGTATGTATATATATATATATATGCTGTATATGTGCTTTATGTGATGTAAATACAAGATACTATATGTTACATACTACAATAGCTACATATATATATATATATGTATATTGCACGTACATATTCCTACCATGGCGGTTTACTGTAAGCTCGTTCAATACATTCCAGTTTGTACAAGGCCGATGATGCTCGGCAGCTTTACTCCGTCCCGCTGCCCACGAGCCTGGAGTTCGTGGATGCAGCCCAGTGCTCAGCATTGACCGGGTTTGCGGGGTTTAGGGTTTAGAGTTTTTTGTTGGGGG